GTTGTCCTGTCAAATACATAACTAATATCAATAATCCATCAGTTTTCTCTGTGTATAGAAGAAAAAATTATGTACCAGGCTGGTTTTTACACTTTTTTGACAAGAAAAATAACAGTATGGATTTCCTTTCTTAAAAAGAAGTATTAAGACAAATTGTAATTGACCATTAATCAGAAACAGACTTGGCTTAAGTTGAAAATTGGTGATCCATTAGAACATCCTTAATATTCTCCTGCATGAGAACTGTAAACCTTGGTATGATGGAAGTACAATGTTCTGTTACAAAGGACATCAAGGGTATCTTCACAAAGAGTATACATGTGGTATTTTTCCCTTAAGAAACTTGTATCTTTAAACAGAACAAGTACTTGCTGAATGATGGGAAAGGTCTAAGTAATGTATAGGATGTTTAATGTATAGGATGCACAGAAGGGAGGAAGTATTTTTTTTTGGTGGACATCATCTGGGTGAGCATTTCATGGCGGAGAGTCCTTCTGCATTACCCCATGAAATATAATTTTGTAAATAACTTCTGAAGAATTACATGTATTAGAGAGGAGCCATCTCGGTGGGAAAGAAAGGCATTCTGTGTACTGGTGACCTACTGAACAGTACGCTACCCCAGTAAAGGAAAAGATCTCAACTGTTAACTGCAAGAGATTTATGAACATAGCTGGTGTGATTAAAACTAGAGTGCAGTTTACTCCAGTGCCAACACAGCTAAGAAAGTGTGTTTTGGATTCTATTCCTTCTTTTGCATTATCAATGAAATTATTTACTGTATACTTGATCCAAAACCCATAGGAATTAATGGGAGTCTTTTAACTGACTTCAGTGTGCTTTGGATCAGATCCTATGTAGTGGTTAGTTACACTCGTTCCAACGCATAGAAGGCAAGGGAATTGCAGAGGTATCGCTGAGGGCATCATTTGAAAGCCTTAGGGCCACACAAGGAATGATTTGACCCCTTGAACTCTTATTAATGGTAATGGTGAGTGAGAAGGAAACAAGCCAATTGAATTCTCTTTTCACAGCAGTGCACTGCACTTTATATCAGGGATGTGGAGAGAGATTATATTGATTATTTTAAAGAAATTAAATTGGAACATTTCTAAAGACCTGAGTTAGAGGAAAAAAAGAAAAAAAAAAGCTTAGGTTAGTGAAGTAGATAAAGACACAACATAGGCCTCGTGGGAATTGCCCAAGTAAGGTCTCTGTGATCAAGCCCGATACTTCAGTTTCTTGTGCTGCTCCTTTTCAGACCCAGGACTGTGTCCTCCTGTTTGTAGAAGAGCACAAAGAACAGCAGTTTCACTGTGGACCTGTCTTGCTGTGCTTGTTCGCTTGGCCAGTTTCCCCTTTTCCTAATACTCAGATGAAATATGGTAGTCGCTACTGAAGAAGCTGGTCATGCTTTTTTTTCCCCTTGTGGTATGACTGAGAAAACTCAGAACTCACTGTACCAATACGTTCAAGTAATTTTATTGCAGACTACCATCTATGGAGAATTGTTGCTCATTGGTTGGCCTTGGCAAGATCATTTACATGGTCACAAACGAGCTACTAAATTAGAACCCAGGAATAAAAGCATCTTTGACATCTGCTGTCTCCATTCCACCATCAAACTCACACCACTGCAAAATCTGCAATAATTCTGCTTGCATATTGTGTCAGTGTCTGAGATGCAGTCTGCCTCATTGTGATGAAGAAGAAGTAGCCCACTGTCGCAATGAGCTAGCTGCTAAGCTATGTAGTTGTATAGCTAGCAAGGCTATGAGGCCTCTCCACATTAGCACCACCTGTTTAAGGCTCCACAGATATTTGAGGTGAGGATGAGGTAGGGAGCTGTGGTGGGGGTATGATGGGGCATGCCTCCATCCCAATCAAGATGGCTAACAAGCTCCTCTGGAGCAGAGCCTGCTCCACTTGGAGGAAGCAAGTTTAAAAGGGAGAACTTGTCACAGGAAGGGCAGCAGCCAGGAGAAAAGCTGCTGTCCCTTACAACACGGTTGCTGGGAGGAAGACAGCATGTAAACTTCCGCCACCCACAAGGACTCACCAGACCAGATACAAGCTGATCACTCCAGGGAGCAGTTGAAGATAAACCCTGGCCCGAGGTTTAGCCATACCTATCTGCTATAAACAAGCCAGACATCAATGGATTCTCTTAAAGGAAAACTCAGACTGAATGTCCTTAAGAGGAAGGTCCTTGTACCTGGAAATCCAGGAAGACTGAAGTAAGGTTCCCAAAGGAAAAAAAAACTTTGGAAGGGAAGAGAAGAAACTCTGAAAACACCCAAGCGGGGCCCAGGAAAGCCCCACCCTGTCCCGGGCGTGGGGGTGGAGAGTGGGGTTAATTCTGCAGGAAACAGTCACAGAATAGCATTAACTGCATTTATGTCACGCAGAGCCTGATCCAAGTCATTGGGAGTCTTTCTGTTGACTTTGATGGGTTTGGGATCAGGTCTGTACTCGCTGGGTAGCAATGTGCAGCCAGTAACAGCACAGCTCCATGGCACCTGAACTGGTCAGGTCTTTGTGCCGAGCAGATTGTCCAGCCCTCTGATTGTCCGATGAATCACTGGGCTTGAAACCCGAGGAAGGTTTCCTGACTCTTTTTGCTCCAGCTGTGAAAGGGAAAGCATCTAGGCCTCAGTCTGTAGGTGATTGATTACTCTGTGTCAGAGCATCCAAGGAGGCTGTAGTCAGATTGCTATGTTCAAGCTGCGGATGGGCTTGCTGTTTTCCCTTTCACCCTTCTTCTGGTCGTTGTCATGAGAAAGAATGATGATTGCGCTATTTTGTATTCTGACTATGCTCCTTGTCACAGAAATAGATTCATTTGGTGTGATGATCATTGGTGGTCATGAGAACAAGACATCAGAATTTAAATCTGTTACACACTTAACACGCTTTGGTTCACTGGCCACATCCTCCTCTCTGATCACAGCCAAATCCTGAAGTCCATGCCCAGACTTAAAATAGCTACTTTATGCAGGGAGAGAGAGTGAGCACATTTTCACCTGATAATCTCAGAGGCCTTTACAAAGGCCAGGTGCCATTTTCACAGGTCAGGTTGCTTGAGGCATAGAACTTGTGATTTTTGCTATGATCACAGAGTTAGACAGTCTCAGAGTTAGGAACCAGATCCCAGATCTTCCACGTCCTAGCCCAGTACCGAGTCCGCTAGCTCCTGCAGTTAGAGATATTGTACAGATACACAGATATTGTGTATCCTAGGTTCTTCAAAGGTAGAGAAGTCAGTATTTATTTATGTTTATCTACAAGGAACAAGTATGTAGTGCAGGGGCGGGCAAACTTTTTGGCCTGAGGTCCACATCGGCTTTCCGAAAGTGTATGGAGGGCCAGTTAGGGGAGGCTGTGCCTCCCCAAACAGCCAGGCGTGGCCTGGCCCCCGCCCCCTAGCCAACCCCCCGTGCTTCTTGCTCCCTGACGGCTCCCCCGGGACTCTTGCCCCATCCAACCCCCCCATTCCCTGTCCCCTGATGGCCACCCCTGGAACCCCTGCCCCATCCAATCACCCCTTCTCCCTGACCGCCCCCGGAACCCCTGCCCCGACTGCCCCCCGCCACCCCATCCAACCCCCCCTCCTTCCTGACTGCCCCCCCGGACCCTTGCCCCCATTCAACCCCCCTGTTCCCCGCCCTCTGACCGCCCCGACCCCTATGCACACCCCCACCCCCGACCACCACCCTGAACTCCCCTGCCCTCTATCCAACCCCCCTCCCCCCCGGCTCCCTGCCCTCTTACCGCGTTGCCTGGAGCACCGGTGGCTGGCGGCACTACAGCCGTGCCGTCCAGAGCACCAGGAGAGGCAGCCGCGCACCACGCAGCACAGAGCCCCGGCTCAGGCCACGGCCCTGCAGGAGCTCGCAGCCCCGCCGCCCGGAGCATTGCGCCGGCGGTGCAGTGAGCTGAGGCTGCAGGGGAGGGGGAACAGCAGGGGAGGGGCCGGGAGCGAGCTACATGAGAGGTTTCCCCACCTCTGAGGTAATGCACTGAGGGAACAGCCTGAGTTACTACAGTTCCTCTAACAGACCAGTAGAGGAAAACTAAACAAATAAAATCAGAAAAAAACGGGGGGAGAGGGGGGAAGGTTGAGAGGAAATGTTATGGCTTGGCCCAGTGGAGTAGCATGTGTCAGATCCAGAGTAAGTCAAAGCCTAGTGGTTTACAGCTCAAATTCAGCCTCTGTGGAATGAGGCACAGCTTCACTGCCGTCAGTGGTGTAGATCCCGCTTGTGCCCAGGCTGATCTTGCTCCTGCAGTTTCAAAGGGGTGTTCAAATTGGTGAAATAATTACAAAACAAAACACTAACTCACACTTGCTGAGGGGGTTCGTTAGTCTAAGTTCAGATGTACATACTGGAATCATGTTGACAGCAGAGAATTTACCAGATCCTTTTGATTGGTTTGTGTCCATAGCCTTCTGACCTACAGATTCCTGGCATATTTATTCCCCCAGCAGTGGGCTTTTTTACTCTGTCCTTATCCAGGAAAATTGCAAAGAATTGAATGCAAACTGAGTTAGGACCTCAGGCTTTGGCTCTAGAGGAACTGGAGGGAATGAGAATAGTTAGAAAGTTAATGAACAAACCAAAATAAATGGCAAGGTAGTACTATTTATGACATTTTATGTATGGGCCATATATGGGGAATTTTGATGCTTGGCTCTCATTGCAGTGAATGGAATGAGATCAACAGTGTGGCAGGACAGTCTCTCTGTACGAGACTGTACAATTGATGTCATGTGTTTAGATCCCTACACACAATTCTGAGAGTTTAAGGGTAATAATAATAAAAACACTTCTGTAAATGGTATAAATGTAGGCCATATTCATAACTAGTCTAATGTGATTATAACGTGGCCTTTCTCATATGCCACATTCTAGATATGCATTGAATGGGAAAATATGTATGTGCCGAGGATACTGTGCTTAGAATTAATGTGTGATTCCCCTGAATCTGTGCTTTCCCAGGACAGATATCGGTGGATGGATTTATGCGATACCTGGGTGGAGAAGAGAATGGCGTTGTTCCACCTGAGAAACTGGATTTGAATGAAGACATGTCTCAGCCATTGTCTCACTATTTGATCAATTCCTCACACAACACCTACCTCACAGGTATAGTACGGGAAGGATCTGATTTCTTACTTTGCAACATTAATAGCGTATTTGCAGTCATACTGGATGGATGCACTAACCACTCGGGTGTAAATGATCCCACACTCTGATTGTTTCTGAAAAGTAAGGACAACACAGACAGTGATTCTTATCCTGCTTCACAGAGATGTTACCTCCTTATTCTTATTAATATTGAACATCCATTGGAAGTTATATAGTTCAGTCAGTGCCTGATCCAAAAAGCCTAGTGAAGTTGAAAGATCCCCATGAACATAAACAGGCTCCGGAGCAGATGTTTAAGTTGGAAAAGAAATGGTTCGTTGTCTTGCGTCCAAGACAATATTTCATTACGATTCGTGAGAGGTGAACCAATATGGTAAAATCCTCATAGTAAGAACCTCCCTGCATCTACTTCATTTTTCCCCCTCTAATTGAAACTAATTGAACCTGAAGCTTTTGTGAGATCAACCTTCCCAATAGATTTGTTTTGGTTTGAGAGATCAGAGAGGTCCAGAATGGCTCATGAGTCTCCTGCCTTTCTGCCCCTTTCTTCTTAAGGAGGGGCGATCTGGGCTGCTAACTGCCTTCAGCATCTAGGCTCTTTGATGGTGCAAGCCAATTCTCAGAAATGCTGAGCTCCCAGAAGCTCCCATGACATAATTAAATTAAGGGCCTGATCTGTATTATTTATGCTCTAAAGTCAATGGAGCTTTAAAACACTCAAGACTGCAAGAGCAGATCATTACCCTGATTATGCTACATAAAGATTTAGGAGCCTATCTTTTGACTCTCCTTTTTTATAATCTTGGCCATAGGGTTTATCTCCGGGGAAAGAATTGTGAATTCACAATTTTAAAATGTTTTTTTTCTATATTATATAAAAATTAAGCATTTCTAAGCACACTTGCCTAAGGGAATTTTGTTTGTTACATTTGATTTTATGTTAGCATCATCTTGTGTTATATTAAACAAGGAAGAAGTGATAACAGTACACAGTAAAAATCTGGCTCGTATAATTGATTTATGGTCTTTTTAATGTTACTGATTTAGAGACATGCCTTAGTTCTGCAAAATGCCAGGAAGCACTGATCCAAACACAACAATTCCATGTAGAAGCCCAATCTAAACAGGGCAAGTGGTTGTTAATTTGCATCTGTTATATATGTTATAGAACTTTCTGCAGCACCTACTGCCGCTGTTGTATAATTAATGAACTGTCAGTATTTCCATTAGACACCCGTAGTCCAGAGTTTTATACCTTGGCTGTAAATCGTATTGTATCCTAAAACTTCTCATGCTCTGCTCAGGAGCAGCTTTGTTTCTGCAAATTAGATTTAAAAAATATCAGCGTGGCTGCTTAAAAGTTAAGATTCTAATATATAGAAATGTATGATCTTTAGACGAATTCAAGCATTCTCAATACAAAAGCAGCTTTATTTTTATGGTGATATTTTGCAGGTCTATTGTCTGTAATGTGGACTGGGCCCTACTGATATACAGAAGAATCCATTTAGTTAGAATGGTGCAATGTTACAAAGAATTCCTGATCCATGGAAACTGTCACTTAAATAGTAAGGCTGCTGTCCAAGGAGCTGTAGAGAAGTGGCAAGTCTCTCACATTAGTGGATAGGCTCATGGAGTGGGGAGGCAGTACAGGGCCAAATTCTGCTCCCATTTATGGTAGTGAAAATTTGCAGTCCTGCCCTTGATTTCAGTGGAGTAACTCTAGATTTACATAGGTGCAGCTCAGAACATGATAAAGCCCTAAAGGTCTAACTTAAAAGCAACCAACAGAACCGACAACTAGCTAACAACTAACAGAAGCCAGGAAGTACAGAATCAAGGATGAAACTTTGGCAGAAATCCAAACTATTCGTCTTAGATATCGTAAATGTCTCAGGACTGTAAATAATCTTACAGTATACACCTTAATATTGCAGCAGGAAGGAGTGAGTTACCAATTGTGTTTCAAACTTGCCTTGCCTTTTATGAGTTTAAGTCAGACCAAATTTGAAAAGAATTCCTACCAAATTGCACCAGCACGTTACTTGATGTACATTTTGGGATAGTTTCAGAAGCTACTCTTGGAAACAATAGAATTGTAGGACTGGAAGGGACCTCAAGAGGTCTTCGAGTCCAGTCTCCTGCGCTCAAAGCAGAACTAGGTATTATAGACCATCCCTGACAAGTGTTTGTCTAACTTGCTCTTCCAAATCTCCAATGGTGGAGATTATACAACCTCCCTAGGCCAGTGGTTCCCAAACTTGTTCCGCTGCTTCTGCAGGGAAAGCCCCTAGCAGGCCAGGCCGAGGGACGTACTGGCTGCCGCTTCCAGCAGCTCCCATTGGCCTGCAGCAGCGAACCGCGGCCACTGGGAGCAGCGATCAGCCGAACCTGTGGGTGCGGCAGGTAAACAAACTGGCCCGGCCCGCCAGGGGCTTCCCCTGCACAAGCAGTGGAACAAGTTTGGGAACCACTGCCCTAGGCAATTTATTCCAGTGCTTAACTATCCTGACAGTTAGGAAGTTTTCCCTAATGTCCAACCTTAACTGCCCTGGCTGCAATTTAAGCCCATTGCTTCTTGTCCTATGCTCAGAGGTTAAAGAGAACAATTTTTCTCCCTCCTCCTTGTAACAACCTTTTATGTACTTGAAAACTGTTATCATGTTCCCCCTCAGTCTTCTCTTCTCCAGACGAAACAAACCCAATGTTTTTCAATCTTCCCTCATAGCTCATGTTTTCTAGATCTTTAATCATTTTTGTTGCTCTTCTCTGGATTCTCTCTAATTCGTCCATATCTGGTGGCACCCAGAGCTAGACACAATACTCCAGTTGAGGCCTAATCAGCATGGAGTAAAGCAGAAGTATTCCTTCTTGTGTCTTGCTTACAGCACTCCTGCTGCTAATATATCCCAGAATGGCATTTGCTTTTTTGCAACAGTGTTACACTGTTGACTCAAATGTAGCTCTCAGTCCTATTTAACATATCATTTGTGGATTGGTAGAATTAAAATGCTGTTACAGAACAAGTGAAAAAAAGCTGTCATAATTTAAACCAGAAAAAATACAAAATCATGCTGAGAGTGTTTTAACTTTTGAGATACAAAATGTGTGCCCTGTCTCTTTGTGGGTTCATGTGCTCCATAAATCTGAGACAGCTGGCGTGGAACGGGACTTAATAATTAGATTTTATAGATTCATTACAAAAGCTGAGAGCCATAGATTTATTTTCAAGCTAGCCCAGATACAGCCGTGTTGCTGTTTTCATTTTTTCCGCAGACACTTCATTCAGTTTAACAGGTCAACAAATGCTACTGGATTGTAATCTTATTTGTTGACTGTTGAAGGGGTTAAAGGCTTGGAAAGTTGGGAACAAAAGCTTCAGCAACATCTGTGTACTCATTTGAGCAGTGCAAATGGCAGTAGCAACCAATCATGTAATCATTATTAAGGAAGTAGGGAAACCATTCAGTCTAGCAATCCATCTTTATTATGGTTACAGTTATTGCCCTACTAATTATCAATCCTTTTGTTAGTTTTTAAGCTAAGAAAAAGGCATCCCCAAAGAAACACTGTTACAACATGAAGAGAAACATATGTACAGTCTGACTTTATTTTTAATTGTCGTGACCATTTTTCTAGCCTTTAGTAGAAACAAGTCCTGATTATTTATTTAGAAGCTTTATTGCTTCCCCCTCCCCCTGAAAGAAATGCAACAGTTAAGAACAAAGGTAAAATCCATCAGGAAAGAAGTAATTTCTATTAATTCGAACGTGGTTTAAAGAAATCTCCTCTTCGGGGCAAAAAATATTTCTCTCACCACTGATTTTTTAAAGAAATATCCTTCAGACATTAATCGGCAGTCCTGTTTTGTGACTGATTTCTTCTCAGAGTTGCCTGAAGTTATTGCTGTTGTCACAGTGGGGAGTGACACTGCAGCAGCATTCCTTGCAGCACTGGAAGCCAAGCAGTAATGATCATTATCTATCACAATCGTTTTCACACACTTATTTAACCTTTAAAATTATATTTTGCCATCCGCCTTTTTGCCTGTTAAGAAGAAAAACAAATGCAGGATGCAGAGCTCATCAGTTTTGTGTTGAGTGTGTGTGTATAGACTGCAAAGTCTGCCCAACTAACTCCCAACCCTGCTTCACCTCCAATATCCATTTCCTCTACCTGTGCTCCTAGGCCACTGAGCATCTCCCATGAAGAATGCCGAGCAGTATTCCTTGGATACAAATTCATTATCTCCTTCTTTATTGCAACAATATTCTTTGCTTACAGCACCCATCTGCTTTTGTGCTTCAAGTACTGAGCCCACAACTTGCATCACTTATTTGCAACCTTCAACACTTCCCTAAAACCTTTCCACCCAACCCGTGCACCCACCTCCCTTCTTGCACAGGATCTTGCCAGCTTTTCCAAGCAGAATAGACCTTCCCAGCTTGTGGGTTACCAACATCTACCTCACAACACCTGAAGTTTCAGGGGTGGGAAGGAAATTAAGATGGGCAAAAAAACAACAACAACAACAAAAAACCCAACACCATGATGCTCCAGCTTCACAATTTCAAGAGACAACAATGTGCTGTTGAGGAGGGGGAGGACAAGACGGGACAGTGACCAGTCTGAGGTTGCTGTTATGTAGCAGCACTAAGCTAACTTTCCTCTCCCCTCACCATCTTCCCTGCTGTCACTGAACACTTGTTGAGCTGCTGGGACCAGGCAATAGGGTAGCAGGGGCCACTTTACAGTAGGTTTCCCCCCGGCCATCTCTGTCTGGGTTTTTTCCCACCCCTGCTCTGTTGGCTTGGAGGGTAGAAGAGCTTGGGAGAGGCAGAAACCTGGTCACCAGGTGGGAGCTGAGCAGGGTGGGGAGAAGCCCCAGGTATCCTCTCAGGAGCAGCTTCTCATTCTCCCTCCATTCAGAGACACATAAAGAGTGTTGCTTTCCATGGCAACAGGGAAAGTTGGGGTATGGGCACCTTTGGGCAGGA